CCCCCCCCCCCCCCCCCCCCCCAAGAAAGCAGCTCCTAACCTGAGATCTGGGAAAGACTCTTCCCCTTTCTGTAATTTTAGTTCATCTAGTCTTCTTTGTTTCTGTAGATCTCCAATGATTTTTAAAAATATGATTTTGTAACATCTGTTTTATTTTTCTTATTTTTTAAAAATTCTGCAGCAGGAGAATGGCCTGCTATTCACTACACTCTGCCCAGCAACAGGTCTCATGTTTATTTTTACTACCTACTTTTTACTCCATCTCCATCCTTCCCCATCCCCACTCCAAATCTTACATTTGAGGGACGCCTGGTCATTTTATGCCACTGACATTTTATACATGAGCTACCTGATGCCCAACTGAGGATTATTCAGTTATTGCCATGGTACCCTCCACATCTCAGCCTATATGTGTGGCAGGATGGTTTAAGCCCGAGCTCCAGATATATCCTAGGGCTAGAGTCTGGTTCATCCAGGTATTTGTTGGGTACCCAGTGTGATGCCTGGCATAGAGTGGGCACTCAGTGTTTGGGTGCATGTGTGGGCTGGGAGTAGGGTGTTGCTGGCTGACTCTTGAGGGTGGAGGATAAGGGGCTGAGAGTTCAGAGGAGGGGGTTATGCCAGTGTTTGCCCTGAGGAGGGTCTGGTCAAATCACAGGGACGTTTGGCTTGAGTGTGTGGAAAAGACTACAGGGTGCTCATGGTGGTCAAGATGAACAAGAAGCAACCTTGGAGGAGAAAGCTGACTCCACAGGCACCTCGGACAAGGCCTACCGTCCGGAGCTGCAGTGAGTTATTACAGCCCACGTGGTCTCCTCCAGCCTGAGGAGGGGGCAATGCGAGCATCCCCAGGTCCCAGCAAGCCTCCACTTGGGCAGGGTAGTGCTGGGCATGGTCAGGGAGGGCCCTCAGAAGGCTGGAGGATTGGGACCTGCAGGCAACTTTACTCCACAGGCGGCAGCTATGGCCGGAGAGCCTGAGGCATGTTCTAGCACATATCAGCTGAAAGATTGAGTAGGGAAAGGGGGAATATAAAAAAAACCAAGCGCTTAGGTGCGCCCTCACCCACTGAGCCAGGCTCAGATTTGCCAGAGCTGGCTTTCCTGCAAGGGTCATTTTTATATGCCCAGAGGTCTCTAGCAGGGGTGTGCCTGGGCCCATGACCCAGGTTCTGGTCCTGCACAGACATTTGTGATATTTCCTTGATTCGTGGGGAAGAGCAGGCTGCTTGCTACGTGTTCCCTTCTCTACAGGTTCTTCTCTTACCCACTCTATCCACTCCATCCTAATCCTGGCCAGTTCTCAAATAATTTTGGTTCATTCAAAAAAATATTCACTGGGATCCCGCTGGCTACCAGACCTTGTGCTGGATTCTGGAGACCCAGGACAATGGAGAGACAGGTCCTGCCTCGAACTCACAGGCCCCCCAGGGAGGTGGACATGCAGGTCATGGCTGCAGTTCCAGGTGATAAGTGATGGGAGTACAGGCTAGTCTCCATTGCCAAAATGCTTGGGACCAGACGTGTTTTGGGTTTTGGATTTTTTTTTGATTTTGGAATATTTGCATCACCCTATGGATATCTGCAGGCCTTTTTGACATTTTCAACAATATCTTTACACCACAGAATAGAGAATAAGCAAAAAACCTCCCAAAACAAAACTCCATGGTGAGTAATGCATGTAGGTTTTGGCCCCATGTGGGGCATCGTGGGGCACCTGCCTTTGGCACATCCTGCCCGCACATGTGCCGTCTTCTTACCCTTTGGGGTTGTGCTTGCAGGGGCGGGGCAGGGATCTGGGTGTGCATGGAAAAGATATATCGCAGCTGAAGGGGACTGGGAGGGTCTTTTTTTCCCTTGGGAACACTGAATATGTGTTGGCACCTATATTTTGACTGCAACCTGTCATATGAAAAATCCCAGGTGTGGGATTTTTCACTCCTGGTGTCATGTCAGCACTCAAAAAATTTCATATTTTGGAGCATTTTTTATTTCGGATTTTTGGATTAGGGATGCTCAACCTGCTTTAGGGGTAGGAATGGCTCAGAGGACAATCCATCTGATTGGATGGATCACGTGAGAAAGGTTTCATAGGAGAGGAAGTTTTGGAGTTGGGTTTTGATGTATAAGTAGGAGTTTGCCAGGCACCCACAGAATCTTTGTGGCTGCTGTATTCTCATCAAGCCATACGCCTTGACAGTCCCGTGGGGGATAGCAAACAAGGCAGAGACAGAGTTTCCCTGGGGTGGCGGGGAGGATGTTTAAATATTCTACAAGGGGAGGGCCAGGTAAGGCCAGAATGGGATGTCAGGCTTCCGTGGAGGAGATGGCGGGAAGAGTGGTGGGGCCTGCTGGGCCAGCTGAATCTGGGCTTTTCTAACATTAATTGAACACTTGCTCGATGATGGTCCCTGGGAGTATGGCCTCAGGGGAGGGATGAGAAGGTTGGGGAGGCTCAGACCCAGGAAGAGGAGATTCTCTCAGGGTTCCTGGGAAAGTCACCCTGCCTGGTGGAGAGGGGGACACCTTGTGAAGGAAAGCCCCTCACACTAGGGAAGAGCGGGACCTTGCTGAGGTTCTGGCGTACCAAAGGCGAGAGCAGGTGGCACTGATGGCCCTCCTGCATGGGAAGGCAGAAACAGAGGCAGAGGCTTGGGCCACACTGCAGCAGATGACCGCGATGTCCCCATGGACTGGAGAACGCTGCCTGGCAGACATCGAGGACAGCTGGAACCAGTGGGAGTCCAAGGGCAAGCAGGTAAGCTGGGGTGGGGATCATGGGAAGGGGTAGCGGGGCCCCCAGTTTCAGCCTTCACTCTTGTCTCCTGCAGGTGAGCAAAGTCTTGGGAGCAGCATATAAGCCCAAGAAACGGTTGTGGAGTCCCAGACGCCTGTCTGCCGATGTGCAGTATGGCTGGATGAAGTATCAGGTGAGGCAGGATGGGACCGTGGTGCTGGGGATGGAGGCAGGGATCCCATCTCCACCAGCGGCCACTCTTGTGCCCTCATGGCCCTCCAGTGTGGGTGATGGGAACATTCATCCTTAACAGGATCCTGGGCACAGACAGTTGTGGGATGAGGCTGGACTGGCTGGTTTGTTTGCTAAGGCACTGGTTGAGGCCATTGACACAGGTTTTGTCCTTGAGGACAGACCTCACTGGGCCTATGGGAGGGGGTCCTTGTTGGGTTCCGGTGCCTGTCCATAACCTTTAAAGCATCTACCATTGTCTGTGCTATTTATTTGCTTGTTAGTGTATTTACTACCCATGTTCCCACTACTGTGGGTGCCCAAGTACAGACAGAGGGCATCATGGTGCCAGGCACTCAGTAAGAACTGGAGTAAAGGGAAGGAGTGGTTCTCCTTGGGGAGAGAAAGAAGGAGTGGGGGACTTTGGAAAGACCAGATTCAAGCTCCATCCTGCCTTGCTTAGGCAGATCCCAGCCTCTGCTGCCATAAGGGCATTATGGGAGCTGCCTCTTCTCTGTCGTGGGGATTAGGAATAAATGAGATAATGACAAAGGCCACCTCCCTGCAGGGTTCATCTGTCCTAGGCTGGGAAGAGGTTAGTGTGAGGGGGATTGCTTGGCATCCCTGCCCCTGCCCCAGAGGTGGCCTCAAAGCACAGCTTGGCAAGTGCTAACAGGAGAGGTGGGAAGCTCTGTGTGTCCATGGCCTCGTTCTAAGAAGGGAACAGTCCTGGTGCTGACCCCCCAGGGTTGCTGCAGAGAAGGTCTGGGTGCTAGGCCTGGTGCAGAGTGGACCTGTGGGCTGCAGGCCATGGCCATTAGCGACAGCCACAGTGCTCTGGCGACTTCTTTGTTTGCATGGGAAGACCTTGTGCCCTTTCTTCCTGTGAGTCTGCTGTCCAACAGGTGTCCTGCCCCTGCACCCCTACTCTGTCCCCCACAGATCTCCCCTCAGATCTACCAGAGCCTGCACTTCAATGAGCTGACCCCCATCCAGCAGCCTGACTTCCTGGTGCAGAGGGCCATGGACCAGCAGGGCCGGCACATCCACCTGGTGACCCACGACAGGCAGAAAGACCTGGAGCCTGGCTGGGAGCAGGCTGGCACGCCTGCGACCACCTCTCCGCCCTCCTCCTCGCTGTCCCCAGTAGCCTCCGCTGCCAAGTTGCTGGGCTCTGACTTGCTCACCTTCCTGAGGCCCTAGTCCTCTGCCTCCCTGCTGCAGCCCTGGTTGGCCTCCACCGCCCAGTCTACCCCCTCCGTCCCATCCCAGCTGTCTGAGTTCATGCAGCAGAGGTCGGCGACCCCATGCCCATTGCCTCCTTTCTCGAACGGCACCCAAAGCCTCTGACGGCCAACCTTATGTCATCCGTGAAGAGGGACTTCCACATCAGGTTCTGAGGTGCCCCACCCTTCTCTGTAGTCCATTAGCAGGGCCACCAGGCCCACGGGGGTTGCGCTTGTCCCTGGTTTATACCCCGCCAGGCCCAGAGGGTGTGGGCCTTTCGCTGTACCTCCACTCGGTCTGCCCCTCTGGTGAAGTCAACCTGTCTCATCTCTGGCTCTGCACCAGAGTCCTGGAGAAGAAAATAAATGTTCTCAGATGTGCGAGTTCCACAGGCAATGAGGTTGGGCTGTGTGTCATTTGCCCCTTGAGTCCCTGCTGGATCTCTGAGACTAGCAATGCAGGATGGTCCCTCCCCAAGGACACCTGGGTGCAGCTGGCAGGCAAGTCTGGAGTGGGGGCTTTGCAGCCATGTGGCAATGTGGTTGTGGGGGCCACGTTGCTGGGCGTGATGCTTGGCTTGGGAACTTGGTTCAATCTCATGGCCAGAGCAAGTCTCAGCAGCTGTCTGGTGGTGGCCATGGCTGTTTGTCTCCTTCTCCTGCTGTCTATCTGTCCTTCTTTACCATCGGGTGCTCCACCCCAGGAACCCTGTGTTTACAAACTGTCCCTTGTGCAGGGGAGGCCTGGGAGCATGTCTGGTGGCACTCCTCCTGGCTCTGGAGCCCTAATCATCTCTGGGATCATCATTTCCCTCTGGCCCAGAGGCACCAGTCCTTGCAGGCCACCAGCCCTTGTGGCAGCTTGATGTCCATTCTGAGGCATGGGGGACACCTGCAGCCTTTGGAGAGCCAGGGCAGCCCACTGCTGCTGCGTGACGGTGGCCATGGGGCCGCACTAGGCATGAGATTGCCTGAGTTGTGGGGAGGCGGGCTGCAGGCCTGGGGTTCTGTGGGTTCCCTCTAATTATCTCAGGGTCCCCACTGGCCCTCCTGTCCAGCCCGAGGCTCAGCCTTGTGTGGCGGTTTCTCAGCCTTCTACCTGCATCTCCCTGGCACACCTCACAGGGATGGAAGCAGGGCTTCCCTCTACCTCTCCAGCTGGGAGTCTCTACATCACTTGTGCCTCCTTCCTGGGCCCATGGCATCCTCGCTGCCATGGAGAAGCTGTGATCTGAGCCCTCCTAGGCTTGATTCTTGGATTGAGGAGTCAGGGGGCACCCAGGAGCCAGGATTATTGAGGCCAAAATACATTAGCATGCTGTACCCCAATATCATCCCTATATCTGTCTCCTGGGGCTGCCGAGACAAAGTGCCAGAAACCGGATGGCTTCAAACAACAGAAACATATTGTCTCCCAGTTGTGGAGGCTAGAAGGTGTCTGCAGGGCCGTGCTCCCCCCGAAAGCGTGTCTCTCGCAAGCTGCTCGTGGTGGCTGCCATCCTCAGTGTTTCTCAGCTTGCGGCTGCAGCCCATCAGTCTCTGCATCTGTTGCTAGTGGCGTTTCCCCTCGGGTGTCTGTCTTCTCAGTGTGTTCTCCTCCCTGTGTGTGTCCCTCTCCTCTTATAAGGACACTAGACATTGGATTGAGGGTCTGGCCGAACCCAGTATTACCTCATCTTAACTAATTGCATCTGCAGTGATGCTTAATTACCTCTTTAAAGGCCCTATTTCTATATCAGGTCACATTCTGAGGGTTAGGACTTCAACATATCTTTTTGGAGGACACATTCGGCCCATAACAATCCCTAATTCTTAGATTCTTTTAAATGATCAGGAAAGCTAGTGAGGAGAGAGGAGGGGGTTCTCCTGAGCACAGGGGGGCTACAGGGGCAGGATGGTCAGACCTGGGTCCCCCTTCTGAGCCCCTGCAGCAGCAGGCCTGGCCCTCTGCCCCTCCTCCCCCAGGCTCACCTGCTGCACGCTCGGCTGTCTTGGAGCCTCACAGCAGTGCAGAGGCAGTTGGAAAGGAATCCTGCCGCCCCCAGGCAGAGGCCCTCCTGTTCTGTGACCTGGGTGGGCCTCACTCCCGAGGAGAGCCCTGGCCCGGCTGCTCCTGGCAGAGGCACCCCATCTGATGAGGCAAGCTCCTGACAGGGGTGTGGTCTGCGATCTGGGTCAGCCCCTTCCCTGGCAGAGCCACCAAAGCCTGATTCTGAATGATGGTGAGTGGGGAGGAAATAGCCGAGCTGTGACCACACGGCTCACCCTCAGGCCATTGTTCAGCCGTGCCCAGTTAGTGACAGAGATGGGACATTAACCCAAGTCTTAGCAGTCCCAAAGCACTATTCCCTCCCTGGCTCAATAGTAAGATTATTAGTAGGTACGTACCATGTGCTAGGTGACATGTATTTCTTAGTATCTTCACACCACCACCACTCTATCCCCATTTTACAGATGAGGAAACAGAGGCACAGGCAGGTGAGGGAATTTTCCCAAGGTCACATAGTGAGTCAGTGGCAGCCAGGGCCCAGGGTCCTCGCTCTTTAGCACCACATGTTGATTCCTCGAGAGTGGGGCTGGGCCCAGGAGGGGTGGGTAGGATTCGGAGGGAAAAGTGTTCCCAGGAGACTGGAACATACTGGGTCTGTTGCAGGGTGTGTGTCTGGGAGGCTGGCACCCTGACCCTCATCTCAAGTGGGCAATTTCAGGAGGCCAGTGGAGCCTGGAGCTGGGTGCTCAGTGGAACACAAGAGGTGTGGGGTGATGACATGTATTAGTTACCTGTTGCTGCTGTAACAATTATCACAAACTGAGTGGTTCAAGACAACACAAATTTTTTTTACAGTTCTGGAACTCAGAAGTCAAATCAGTTTTGCTGGACTAAAGTCGAGGTGTGGCAAAGCTGTGTTCCTTCTGGAGGCTTTAGGAAGGAGTCCATTTCCCTGCCTTTTCCAGCTCCCAGGGCCACCTACATTCTTTGGCTCTTGACCCACCATCAGTCCAGCCTCTGCCTCTGTAGTCACATTTTCTCTCCCTCACACTCTCCTGCCTCCCTCTTAAATGGACTCTGTGATTACATTGGATCCAGCCAGATAATCCAGGATAAACCTCCCTACCTGAATATTCTCAATCATAGCTGCAAAGTCCATTTTGCCATGCAAAGTGACTGTCACATGTTCCAGGGATTAGGACATGGACATCTTTGGAGGGGCCATTCTATCTACTACAAGGTGTCACAGCAGAGTCTCATCCTTCCTGTCCCTTTGGTCACTGATTGACCTTCCAGAAGCTTGTGCTGTCTTCACTATGTCTCTGCCAAGGAGTCAGGGCACATGGCATTGCCTGCATTCTATAGATGGGGAAACCAAGGCCCAGAGAGGCCTTAAACCGAGGCCCTACCAGAACCATGCCTTGGGCCCCTCAGACCACAGCTCCCTGCAATCTGTTTTATCTGGCCAATTTATTCTGGACCTTAAAAGAAATGTAGGTCGGATTGTTGTTCACATAAAAGATACTGTTCCCTGGGGGTCAGAGATCATGAAGCTTGAGGCCCCACCACCCTGAAGCACCCATGTCCTCTCAGGGCTGGTGCCCATGGTCAGGGGCATAGCCTGTGGCCACTGGACAGAGCAGAGCCCACAGGCCCACCCTCACCTTGTCACTCTCAGATACTTCAAGTCATCTGGCCTCAGGTCAGCAGAACCGAAGTCTGTCCTTGGAGCCAGCCAAGGGCAGGTGCCCCAGGGATCAGCTGCTGCATGGGCTGGAGAAGGCCAAGGAAGTCTCTCAGCCCTTGGAGTTCCTAGCTGGGCCAGTCTGGCTCCCCACGAGCCACTGAAAAGCAGAGGCGGACGGGGCAGGAAGCCCCAGGTCCCCTTGCCCCACAGAGCAGCCCAGTGTCCTCCATCTGCTCCCAGGAAATGGTGCTGGGGACCAGGAACACTGGTGCTCAGGGCGGGAGGCACAGGGGTGATGGGGCTGCCCACCTAGGCCAGGCAGACCCCACAACAGGGCCTCTCCTGACGTGCCCACAAAAACCCCTTCTCTCAAAAGGCACTTCTCCTTTTGGGCTTCTGCCGTGGTATCCTAGGACTTCTAGATGCTCTATAGAAGCTGGTAACAAAGCACCACAAACTAGGTGGCTTCAAATAATAGAAATGTATCATCCCCTAGTTCTGGAGGCTAGAAGTCCAAAATCAAGGTGTTTTGGCAGGGTCATCTTGAAGCCTGTAGGGGAGAGTCCTTCCTTGCCTCTTCTTGGCTTCAGGTGTTTACCGGCAGTCCTTGTGCAGTGTCCTTTAGCTTGTGGCTGCATCACCCCAATGTCTGTGTCCATTGTCATATGGCATTTTCTCCAGGTGTCTTCACAATGTCTTCTTATGAGGACACCAAGCATATTGGATTAACCACTCATCCTATTCCAGCGTGACCTCGTCTTAACCAATCACATCTGCACTGACTCTATTTCCAAACCAGGTCACATTCTGAGGTACTGGGGGGTAGGGTTAGGACTCCAACATACCTTTTTGGAAGACACAGGTCAACCTGCTACAGCCTCTAGGTGGGTGAGCACAAGACAATGTGACTGCACTAAAGGTTTTTCCAGTTTTTCCAGCTTTCAGCTTTCCAGCTGATCCCTTCTTCTCAAACCTAGTTATTCTACCAGGAAACTTTATCTGGGTCCTACAAACTAATGATGAAATCTAAGCCACCCTCCACCTCCCCAATGACATGGTGTTTCCGAGCCAGGCATGGAACAGGGATGGTTGTGCCAGATTTCTTCTCCCCCTCACTGGATTTCCCTTGTTGATTTATTCCAGAAGGAGTAGGTGGGCTGGAACTCTTTTTCCCTTCAGCAAAGGAGTGGAATTTCCAGCATTCCTTCTCAAGCGAGGAAGAAACAGAGGCTCAGAGAGGTGAAGTCGCTTGCCCGAGATCACATAGCCAGTAAGTGGGGAAGTCGGCACTTAAACAGTGGAATTTCCAGCATTCCTTCTCAAGCGAGGAAGAAACAGAGGCTCAGAGAGGTGAAGTCACTTGCCCGAGATCACATAGCCAGTAAGTGGGGAAGTCGGCACTTAAACGCAGGCCCGTCTGAGCAGCGCCTGAGTGTAACCGCTGAGCTGTCCCCGCTCCCCTGACAAAGCTGTATCTGGAGGAGTTGGCTTTGAGGCTTTTCCTAGGCTCTGGTCTTATCCCTGTGGGAGGAAGGACCCCTGGCTCCTCCTGACCTGTGCTGGTGCCCAGCTTGTCCTGTCTGTCAAGGGCTTGGTGATATTGGCTGCCACTCGAGGAGGAGGAGTGTCCCCACAACAGCCTCATTGGCTGAGCCCAGGAACTAGCGTCATCTAACCAGGGTGCCCAGCGGAAGTGCTCAGCCCTGGAAGCTTG